TCCTTGTGCACGACGGCGTTGAAGCCGTTGACGGGGTCGGCGGTGTACTCGACGGTACGACGGCTGCCGTCGGGCTCGACGAGGGAGTAGGAGCCCTGGACGACGTCACCCTGGCGAGACTCCTGCTGGTTCTTGTTGTCTCCGGTCAGGGAGTCGTGGATGTCGTAGGCGTAGTTGTAGCTGGGGTTGGGGTCGTAGTCGGTGTCGACGGCAACGGCAGCCTTGGCAAGGACAGGGGCGGCGATGGCCTTGGCGACGGGGTGAGCGTAGGCCGCGGGTTGTGCGTAGGCGACGGGGTGAGCGTGAGCGTAGGCGGCAGGCTGAGCGTAGGCGACGGGAGCAGCGTGAGCATAGGCAGCAGGCTGAGCGTAGGCTACGGGGGCGGCGTGAGCGTAGGCTGCGGGGGCGGCGTACGACACAGGGGCGTGAGCGTAGGCCGCGGGGGCGGCGTACGACACGGGGCCGGTGGGCACCACCCCGGCGCTGGCCACGCCTAAGAAGGCGGCGAGGGCGAGAATCTGCCAACAATCAAATTCTTTTAAGATACCACTCTCTTGTTTTTACTTACGAACACAGAGTTAATCCAAAGTCCTCGGTGCGGCCCGCTTGTCGATGGGCAGGTGCGCTCACCTGGTACGCCATGGTGGTGCTGCTGCTTGCTCTCGAGACTGTGCCGATAGCAGAGCGCTGTTTGGTTATATACCGCTGCGGTGGAGCTTGCCGCCTGTACGCCGCCACGGCACCGCCCCCTGTGTGGCCACAGCGCCGCCCCGCCACCGCACCCCGCCACCGCACCCCGCCGCGCCCCGCCACGCCCCGCCACGCCCTGCTCCGCTGTTGACACGGTCGCGGGGGTCACTCCACGCGGGCCGGTCTACGCGCCCGTCCTGCCGCGGCCCCTCCTCACCGCGCTACGCCTTGGACCTTTCCTCTGCCCTTGTCCCCCCCCCCCCCAATCTAGTTCAGCCACGCCCCTCCCTTTTCCTCTGCCCTGTGGTATACTTACCTATCACTCCGACCTCCAACCAGGAAGAACTTGGGGTTGGTGGGTCATGAAAGTTGTCCTTCATGGACACACCACCCGCACTCACGCACTTGTTTCT